CAGAACTGTTTAACCAAGACCAGAGAGCACAGACTGCTTTGGGAAAATGGCTAAGGAATTATTTGAGCTAGACTTAAATAATAAGAACAGCCCAATCTAAGAACAGCTCAATTCTTTATGATGTAAAGCTGTACTTTTCTCTGCAAAAATGTCACAAAGAACAGTATTTAGTATGAACTTATTCTACTTTTTAAGTTGGTTAATCTTCAAAACTTTAGCATACATTTGACACTCCAACAATATAAAACACTATCACAGAGATTCAAATTAAATATAAACACTTCACTGCAGTTGAAAAACTATGTATTATGAGACGTCAATCAAGTACAGAAACAAAAAATTTACATTTTGATCCAAAAACTGGTTACATTTTACTCAAGTCTAAGCGATCAATCAAAGAAGCTTACCAATAAGGACACTCTTTGTCCAATTATTAAAGTTTCGGAGGTAGAATATGCGAGACTGGCTACGTTTTTCCAATCCAACTTCTTGAAGTTCATTATAATGTGCAGCTACAGCTTGCCCGTGGCCTATCTCAGACTGCAGAAATGACAGGAAGGAATAGACTCAAGGAGTGAATTTTTTTTTATTACTTTTTAATTTAACCAAAAGACATACATGTTCACTTCAAGAATTTAAGAAAGCAAACAAGCAATACTATGAAGAGCACCATCATTATAAAGAGATTTCCCATATCTGTCCCTTTTTCAGTTCATCCAAGTAATTTCTAAGGGATAATACCCAGCATCTTTCCCTCAGAGAAATACTTTCAGTTCTCTAATACTCTCACTGCTCTCAAAAAATCAGTTGCACTCCCCTTAAGCCTGGGACTGAAGAAAAGAATGTTCCTTCTCCAAGAACTTCAAGCCTCTTCAGAAACAAGCTTCAAGCTTGTTTCAGAAATTCAGTGTTTTCATTGACAGAAGTGTATAAATTGCCAATTTAATCAAAATGCCAACTAGCCAATGTTGCATAAAGCCCAAAGTGGATGGACCCCACTGCCAGAGCTTACAGCAGACCATGGTAAGGAATGAGGAATCACTTAACAATATATTCCAACTAATGCTTAACAGTTAGCTACAGAAATGTCTCTGATTCAGCCTTAACTTTACTCCAAAAGATTTCTGTCCCATGTTACAAAGAGAAGCAGTCTACACCCAGATACTATGCTCCCAACATTTCTTCACCTTGAAAATAATCTTCAACTATATACATGAAATGAAAATAAGTTATAAATAAATAAAGCAACAGAACACAGAGAACCAACACAAATTCTGTGAGGCACAAAAGCATTTGAAATAACAGTACAAACCAGAGTGAAGGATTCTCAGTTAAAACCCACAAATGTGCTATAAAGCCAGTATGAATCCCCACAACCATTAAAAACATTCTCCACAGTTGACTACAAAAGCCAATATCCCAGCATCTGGGAAATAGCTGTTCCTCAAGGGAAAAGAAGATTTAACTGACTTTACGATAACAAGTGAATTCTTCAGTGTTTCATATACATTTGCTAACTTTTAGGATGAATACAGACATATTTGTCTGGAATCTCCATCTCCATCATCTGTTTATTACCAAACCGGGCTGACTGATACTAACAAATATTTTGACCACTTCTATTCTTTTTTTTAGGGTAAGCACAGATGGCTCTCTGAATGGCAACTGAAGGTGACATGAGCTAGAACGGCTTAGACAAGTGTGGGGGACATACTCATACAAACCATTAACAACATCTCAGCTGCAAACAGCCATCAGCAATAACATCTACATGCCGGCAGATATGTTCAAACACCTCCCTCCACCCTTAAGCTACGCAAAACCAACATATTTCTTGTTTATCTAAGCCTTATCCCACATCGTTAAAAAGATTAAAGGGTTAATAATGTTTCTACCACAGCAAAGGACACCCTTTATTTTACCAGACTGCTAAGCCATAAATTAACATCCTGGGAAAATTCTGGACAGAGAAACAAAACGTTAGGTCAAAGACATTTTCGAACGACACTTAAACATCCCAAAAAGTCAAAATTAGACTGGATATTAAAGCATCTGTTTCTACAAGCTCATACACAGCAAAAGACAGCATCGTATAAAACATTACCCTTTTCACCCTCCCCTTTAAAAAGGCAGATATTTTCTGCTACTTTTGTAGTCTTAAAAGTCTTAAATCTTTCAGTACTTCACTTTGCAAACAAATTACACTTAAGTTATATCAAACAGGATGCAGTTTGAAGAGTTTTGTAAACTATACAATACCTTACCAATGAAACGAAAGGACAAAATCACCTTGTGGAAGAACCTCCCAAGCACAGATAACTACTCCACCACACAGCATAACAACATACACGAGATCTGAGTTCAAGATACAGGACTTGGACTAATGCCAGTAAACCCTACACTACCAGATTGCTACCACACAGATGATGGAAGGACAGTCTTAGAATTAGACAAGGCATGTGCTGAGACTAACATTCTAATTACCAGCCCTCTTTCTCTTCTGTGAAGACAACATAATTTGTGCACCTGTTATTTTGCTAGCAAGCTACCCACATACTTTGATATTTGGTGTTTCATGCTGGTTCACATATGCTTAGCATAAATATTTTCAATCTTTTCTTGAGCTAAGGTTTTGAGAAAAAGATCTGAAAACAACTCAAAATAAACGATACTCACTATTTTCTTTGGAGGTTCACCTGCAGAATCTAAATTCTTCCTCTTTGCTCTGCTGTCCTGATCACCATGACCAACTTCTTTTTCATTTTCAGTGGGCTGCACTGTACCTGAGGTGGAACTGTCACCTTCACCCCCACACCCCACACATGAATCTGACTCGGAAGTACTAGGTGTTTTTTCCACTTCTTCAGCCAAACTCTTCTCTAATTCCTGTTCTTCTGTCTTGGTTGCATCAGCCATTTTTGACTAGTTAGTCTCCTTGTCCACTGCTCAGAATGGAAATCTAGAGAGGGGAAAGAAAACCACCAAAGATTTTCAGTGTTGAATTTCACTTACTGGTGGTTGCAATCATGACTTTCAAACATAACACTGGCATTATAAAAGAATAACATGCTTTTGCCCTAGACAACATATAGACTTCAAGTATGACTAGCTATTTCAAAAAGACAGCACAATAAAATATATGGAATTTCAAAGTACTCTCATTATAATAAGATCAAATTAAGATAATCTTTACTATTCATGTTTGAGTCTTTCCTAGGCATCTTTATTGATTCAACTGCAGTGTGTTATTGGTTTTGAGACTGTAATCTCCCTCTTTCCCTACCTGTAAAAGGTAACCTAAAAGTAATTTTTTGTGTAGAGACACAGCTTCTCTCAAATTACTAAATTCATTATTTAACCTGATATGCTTTGAAATATAAGTCCTTAAATAAAATATCAAAATGTTTTCTTACGAGCAAATTTTCATATCAGTTGCAGATTTTCCAGTTTGTCAAGAATACCCACTATGCTCCCAGCCTAACCTGGAATATTCAACTTCAAATGCATTCCCACATCTCCACTTCACAAATACCCACACAGCCCATAGGGCTGAAAACCACCGCCACAAAGCTCATTTGGTCTGCAGGACAACCTAGCCTTCTTTATACCTGATCTTTTTTACATCAGCATCAGGGCGCGGGGCACCTACTTTTTAAATAAGGCACAGGACCAGGCAATTTGGCAACTCCTTAACAAAAACCATGCACAGGCCACCGTATCCAGGCTCGCCTCTTAAAGCCTGAACACATCCATTAAGGGGGCCACTATACAGAAACACCAGAGCAGCTCTCCTCAAAACAGATGGCCTCAGAGTGCAACTCGTAGAACCAATCTCTCCACTACGCCGCAGCACCTGACTCAGTTTCCAAAGCAGCAGCACACCCTTCCTTATGCTCACGCGGCTATTCCAAGCAGATGGTTTAAAGGGCTGAATTGTGAAACGATCCGACTTTCACAACCAAGCGCCCAGGGGGAGCAGCAGCTCCTTCGCGGGAACAGCCGGGAAGCAAAAAATGCCTGGGGGAGCGTGGGGAAGGGGAGGGGGGGAGGAGAGGAGGGGGGAGAGAAAAGTAGAGGAACGGGTCCGCCGGCCTCGAGACGAGCCCCCTCTTTCCCTTCCCTTCCCTCCCCTCCCTCCCTCCCTTCCTTCCCCCGTGACTCGGCCGGGAGCCCTCGGGGCCTCCTCGCCCGTTAACTGCAGCGCCGACGCCTCCCAGCGCCCGCCCGGCCCCGCTCGCCGCGCCCGCCCCGGGCACCGCCGCGGGTCCGCCCGGGGACGGACGGGCGGGCAGGGAGGGAGGGAGGGAAGCCCAGCACTCACCCGTCCCAGCGCTCCGCCATCCCTGTTTGAGGAAGTGACGAGCGTCACGTCCGGGGGATGGAGCGGGGGAAGGGATGAAAGGAAGGAGTGGGAAAACAGGGCGCTGCGCGCGCAGTGTTCCCTGGCGAACACGTGTCTTGTGAGGGGCGGCTGAGGGAGCGGGAGGGTGTTTGGCCCGCGGGAAAGGAGGCTCGGGGGGCACCTCGCCGCTCTCTACAACTCCCTGAGAGAGGGGTGCAGGGAGACGGGGGCCGGCCTGCTCTCTGCCTGCACGGAGAGGCCCAGAGGAAATGGCCATAAGCTGGGACAGGGGAGATTCAGATTTGATATTAGGGGAAAAAAAAAAAAAAGTATCGCTGTTAGCGTGGTCAGGCATCGGTCACGGAGGTGGTGGAATCGCCATCCCTGGAGATGCCGTAAGAGGCGTTTGGATTGTGGCGCTGTGCGATGGTTTAGGGGCTATATTGGCAGCGCTGGGCGGACGGTCCGGCTGGGCGATCCCGAAAGTCTCTTCCAGCCTCGGCAGTCCCGGGAGGGGATCCGCGCCGGCTCACGGGGACTACGGGCCCCAGGGGGCCGTGCGGGAGGGGGCGGGCCCGGCGCCTGCGCAGGCGGGGCCGCCGCGGGGCCTGAAGGTGACGGTGGGGACGGGCGCTGCTGCACGTTGCGCGGGGCGGGCGGGCGGGCGGAGGGGGGGGCTGCCCGGGAGGGGTGTTGTGTGTGTCTGTGTGTGTGTGACGGCAGCGGCCGCCGTGGAACCGTCACGGGGCCCATGAGGAGCAGCGGGGGCCCCGCACAAGGTACCCGCGCGGCGGGGACGGGAACGGGAACGGGAACGGGAACGGGTGGGGAGAGAGGGAGCGAGCGGCGGGACTCGGCGAACCCCCCCCCCCCGCCCCCCGCCCCGGCTGATGGGGGGAGTTGTGCTGGCCTGGCCTCCCTCCTGACTGCTTTCCCTCTACCGACTGTGTCTTATTATGTCTTGTCCGCGACACTAGGAGCGGGGTGGGAGGTTTGTTTGTCGATAGGAAGATGAAGCTGTAAACACGGAGCCGAGGGGCCTTGGGAGTTCCGTGCTGGGCTGCTGTGGCATCAGGGCGGGCAGGAGTGGGTTTGGGGAGTGGGATCTCGGGCTGTTACGGGATTTCCTCACGAAGGGCAGCGGAGGGGCGGCACCATTCTCGGCTTTCCAGTGGCAGAACGCGAGGGAACGGCTGGACCTGTGTCAGGGGAGGTTTAGGCTGGATAGCAGGAAAAGGCTCTTTGCCCGTAGGGTGGTTGGGCACTGGAACAAGCTCCTCAGGGAACGGGTCACGGCCCTATGCCCGCCAGAGTTCAACAAGTGTTTGGACAGTGCTCTCAGGCACGTGGAGTGATTTTTGGGGTGTCCTGTGCAGGGCCAGGAGTTGGACCTCTATGATCCTTGTAGGTCCCATACTCCATGATTCTGTGCTACCACTGAAGGGCAGCAGGGGGGTTGTGCCTTATAGAGGGGTTCTCTCCCACGATCTGTCTATGTCTTGGCTTTTTAGACTGCTTGAAGTGGTTGTATAAGTGTTTTATTGTCTAATGTTAGTTATGGTTCTTGTTAGTAATCTGCTTCTGATAATTAACTGCATCTAGGGAGTTGGGCTGAGAAGTCATCAGAATTTTTGTTAAGGCTGTTAAGTGGGTTTATGTCAGGTATTACAGACTACATGTTCAGCCTGACTTATGTTCATTTCTGAAATGTCCCAAAAGAGAAAACATTACTTTGGACAGTAGTACATGAAGTATCCTAGAATTCCTTACCGAAGTCAGCTCTTAAACTGAAAGTGTTCCTCAATTTACCTAATCCCCAAGATGTCATTCCTGTTACAAGTATAAATGTAAAATGATTTTCAAAGTGTTGCTGCATTGGGAAGAGATAGGGAGCAGGTTCCTCGTTTGGAATGTGTTTTGCTGCCTATGCTACTAGCTTATATGACTTGCAGCTGCTCCTGTGTGGCAATTGCATGCACAGAGGATAACATGTCCCCACCATCCATCTCCCATGGGCTGGACAGCAGGTGTTTATCTCCTTTTCTGTCCAAGGGCTGTTTGAGGTAAAAAGTGGCCTCTGTGGCAGCATTTGCTGTCTGAGCAGCACTTCCATCAGGGAGTGAAAAAAAAAAAACAATTGATAATTTGGTTAGGTGGATATCAGGTGGCTAACACATGGCAAAAACTGAGTAGGCAAATTCATGTAAGGAATGTAAGAAGTTAAAGATTTGTCTAATGTGACTGTCTGCAGGCCTGCTTCACAGGCTGTGGCAGCTGGTGAGAAAAGGTTTGATCGGTTCTGGTTGTTAAAAGGTTCTGTGTAATTCTTCTACTATTGATGATTCCTTTCTGCAGATAAACTGTAGACCTAGCTCTGTAGGTATCACTAAGAAACTGAAGTCTGTTTTTGCAGGACAGGGAATTCTCAGTGTCCCCTAATCTCAGATAAGAGCCCTCAGTTTGTATCTTGTCACACTTCTGGATCTGTAGGGAGTTCTGTCTGGTCTTAAAGATATGGTCCCAACGAATTCAATGACAAAAGCAGGGAAATCACTGATTTTTAGAATGTCAAACTTCTAGTTGAATCCAACAAGTTCCTTTCAGTCAGTTAGTCTTGCAGTTTAGGAAGATGATACAATAGTTCTTTAAGGTGTTGATACACTATGAACCCAGATAGTTCAGATGAACTTATTTTGAAATTTAGATGGTGAAGCAAATTCAGCATCAATCATCCATATTTCAGAATTAGTAATGGAATAAAATCACTGAAAGAACTGAGACCTGGGCCCAAAACACGATTGAAATCTCCCTGGACAGTCAGGTGTCATTAGAATAGATCAAAAGGATTTTACCTTGATATTCTGATAGGTAACTACCTAGTTCCACCAGTTTAGATCAAGAGTCAAACTTGGGATCAGGGATTCTTAATGACTGTGATATACCTGTAGTAGATTCTTTGACTTGAAATTAATGGATTGTGCAGTATGGCAATAACAACAACAACAAAAGAACTGCTGAAATTACAGGACTTTTTCTTAATTCTTGAGTCATGATACCTCTAAAAAACAAAGATCATTCTTCATGACCCTGTCACTATACAAAAATTCCAGTGAGAGTAAAAAGCTACTATTCAGTTAAAAAAATCCATAGGATCTGTTGTGATTCTGCCTTCCTAAATTAGGTTCAGTCTTGAAGGTACGAGTATAGGTGTGTTAAGTCCAACATATTTTATCCATGTTAAGTCAAGAATATATCACTTCAGACTGTCAGGAAAATTATGTTTTAACCAGGTGTTAGCAGGCAAGATTGGTCTGCCTATTTATGTCTGTCCCCCCCCCCGCTTTTTGTCTGTTAAGGACAGAAGCCCTGTCTCCTTTTAGGCACTGGGATTTTACAATAGAACTTCACTCTGGTTGGAACTTTGTGTTTCCTCTAAATATCTCCAATCCTTTCTACCCCAGTGCCTTCCAGCACTCAGTTTTCCCCTCATCCTCTTCAAAGTAGCTACCCAGTGTATGATTCAACAGAAAAAAATGAAAATATTTTGTTTTGTTTCCAGATGTGATACTGCTTCTTTTAAACAAATTCATCTGAATCATAAAATTAGGTCCTATTCTGTTTGTGCACATCAGAAAATGAAAGTGACTCTTAGGTGGGCTATAAATTTTAATTACGTGGATCTGCTATTGTGTCTTGTCCGAGAACAGACCTTGACCATGTGTGACAGTTCTTATATGAACAAAACAAGAAGTTGTGTGGCTGTGATTGTGGCTTCGTCTAGCGTTGCAGCAGACAATCCCCTGCAGCTCTTTGGGACTTGCATAGTCTGTCCTTGAAGGGAGGATGAGGGAAGGGAATGGTGCTTAAGACAGTCAGGTGCTCATGAACAAATTATAAAACAAACCAGTAGCTTTTTTTCCAATGAATGAATTTTGCTGGTTATGAATAAAAATATGTGAGGCTCTCCACAGCAGTTCTGTGAGTCTCCCAAAAGTGGCTGGTGGAAGGTTTTAGTAGGACATGGTGGCACTTACCTTTTAACTGCAATGGTAGTGCTTAGCCCCTACATGTGCCAGTCAGTTAACTACTTGCTCTTAATATTTTGTGGATTTAAATATTGGCTTTGCTGATGTTAAAATAGCTGGCATCTTTTGCTTCCTGCTGTCTCAGGCCATAGGATTGTACATTCTGATGAGGGATGTACTAATGAAACACAAGCCTTGGGTTTTGTTGATGACATCTGGCAGAATGCAATCTAGTTTCAAAAGTTGCAGTGTTGCAGAAACGGTATTCTTTTTTCAGTCTGAATACGGCAGTGTAGTAAAGCTGCTACTTCAGACTATGAGTAGGAATGTTATTAGGGTTCCATTAGTGAAGTCCCATCAGAGCTCCTTCTCGTGTAAAGACACAGCTCTCTGAGTCTGATGCGCTTTCGGACACTTGGAGATGCTGTCATTTGGTTCTTTGCAAGTCCTCTATTCAAAAGCTGCTGTGTAAGGCAGTCAACTGAATAGCAGGCAAGAAGGTGTAGCCACTCAGGGATCAAGACCTTAACAAAAGTAATCCTTCTTTCGTAAGAACTCTTCACATCCATTTGTAGACATCTTGGAATAGCATTTACTGAAAATTAGATGAAGAGAGTAGTTTTGAGCATGTGTGTGTGTGTGTGTTCTGTAAATGTTATGATCAGCCTCTTCACACATAATTTTTCAAGATATTCTGATTGATACTGCACATATTTCCCCATATGGAGAACTTTGAATTCACAACAGAGAATTCAACACTTACTTTGAATATTTAGAAAAGATTTATACTAGAAGTGAATGTCTGCCAACAGTAATTCTGCTGAAAGATGAACGTTCTGTATTTTTTTCTGGGAAAAATGACAGCTTTTCAGTGTTTGAAAATGTGAAATAAATGTGGTGTGAGAATAAAAGAAAAAAATCTTGAACCTATTGCTTCCACTGTGAGCTCTGTTCTTGTGAAAGCTGGGATGTTTTTACCAGTTTCGTGCTGGTTTACTCTTATTCCTGCTTTGTTTCTAATTGTAAGGGTTCGTAGTTTTTCCTCAAGAATGTCTTCTGGAAGTCTTAAAAGCATTTTAGGTGAATTTGATGAGTAAAAGACTTGGCACTTGATGGAGGTTGTTGTTTTAAGTGTTTTATACAATTATTACATAATATAATTTGCATTTAATGTATTATTACGGACAATACTGTTGATTGCTGTTGGGTTATGAAGGGGAAAAAACACAATGAGACAAGACCTGTAATGATCCAAGGTGGCAAAAATGGCATTTATCAAGGCTAGAAAAGAAACAGTTTTGGTCATTACCATGGAAGGTGAGGCAGAAGGCTCTACAAAGCTGATTCTAAGATCTAAGTTTAAGGATATTCCTAATAAATGCCGTTTATAATTAATCAAGATAAAGTATTTGAATACCTAAGATCTTATTCTATGAATACCAGGTGCCCACCAAAGCTGCTCTATCACTCCCCTCCTCACCTGGGCAGAGGGCAGAAAATACAATAAAAGCCTGGTGAGTTAAGGACAGGGAGAGATCACTCACCAGTTACTGTCACGGACTCAACTTGGGGAAGGTAATTGAATTTAGTACCAATCAAATCAGAGTATGATAATGAGAAGTAAAACAAATCTTAAAAATACCTTTCCACCACCATTCTTTCCTTGCCAGGCTTAACTTTACGACCCTCTGTCTATCTCCTCCCCCTCCCAGCAGCGCAGGAGGACAGGGAATGGGGGTTATGGTCAGTTCATC